CTACTCGTCCCAGGTCGCCCTCGCCCAGGGTGTCAAGTCTGAACCGTAGCTGCGTGGCCTCTAGGTGAAATGTATTCTCTCAGCAGATGTGTTCGAGTGTGTGTCGTGTGATGCGAGGTGTCTATGAGGACGTCCTCTTTGCCACGCTGTCATTCACTGGTGCAGCGAGAAGCATGACTCCTCTTGTTATCAACGAGCGCGGATTCGTGCTTGCCCTTCGACGAGCGCAAGCTTTTGCAAGCGAGCTTGCAAAGACAGTTTGCGCACCATTGCCCAGCCCACTCACCACCGCAGCACAAGACGAAGCTGCTATCACACACATCGATGTAAAATTACTGACACACAGCGGCGAACGTTTGGGAGAAGAAGACTTGGCTACATGGCCTCGCCGTCGAGATCTTCGCCGTCAAGATCCTCGCCATCAAGATCCTCGCCGTCGATGTCCTCCTGATCTTGTGGCGCTGCGTCATCGAGTGCTTCACCGTCGACGTCCTCCTGCACCACCTTTCCACCCGGCTGCTGCTCGTCCTTCTCAGCATCATTGCTGTCCACCGTCGCCTTGGCTGCGGCAGGAGGATGATCAAACACACTGCGAAGCCTGTCGAGCACGTGGGGCGGGATTACGATCCAGCCATCCCACACGTCGAGCACCGCGTGCACCTTTGCTCTGAACTCCTCCCTCCTCATCCTACCGGCAAAGCTCCTTGCGACGAGACCCAAGTGGGCGAATACGAGCGGGAGGCGAGCTTCGATGGCGGCACGGTATCGCCAGGCATTGGTGACGGGCATGCACGAGTTGTGCAGCACATCCGACAGCGCATACAACCGCGCGAGCTTGCGAGGCACGGGCGTGCGCGGTTGGAGCAACGACTGCGTGAGCAGCGCAACAACGGCAGAGTAGTGCGTGGCGTGGTCGTACGCGAACGCCGTGATGCGCGCAATGCGTTCGCGCCGCAAAGTAAGGCTGCGCAGCATCGAGCAGAGTCGACGATGGGCTCGTGAGCCAAGTGCCGAGGAGCGGGTGGAACGGAGAGAGACGGTCTCGGACTCTTCGCCTGAATCGGTAGAGTAGAGATCGGCACTGCCTGTATCGGAAAAATCGTCCACGACCGGTTTGGAGGGCAGGTCTCGACGATGGTTGATGACAAGCCGAGGAACAGCACCCTTACTGGGGGCTTCGGCATCGTCGTTGACGCGCCGCACAGCTTGCGGATACATGGGTCGTTTGGGCAGCGGCACCTGCTTCCCCCAGCTAAGCCTCACGCGCACGCCGCCCCACATGGCACCGTCTGCCTGCTTGAAGGCATGTTCGGCCGCATCGCGTGTCATGAAGGCGACAAAGGCAGTGAGCGCGCGCGGGTCGCGAACGTCTTGGCGAGGCCACATGATCTTGACGGTTGCCACGTCGCCCCACTCTGCAAAGAACTCGCCCACACCACGCTCGTCGACGCCCGGGGGCAGATTGACGATGCAGATGTTGGTGGTGGGCGTGTCGCCCGTGTGGCGCGAGCCGCGTGGGCGGGTTTGGGTTTCGTGAGCGAGCAGCGTCGAGATCGACGTGTTGGTCGCCGAGGCTAGGTCGGCGAGTCGCGACTCGCGCTCGGCCTGCTCGGTCTGCAGCTCGCTCAGGAACGTGTCCATGGCGTGCCGCTTGCGTTTGGGTGCGTCATTGCGCGCCGAAGAGGCCTGGGCTGGTGAAGTTGGAGTGATCCCGTCATCGCTCTCGTTGCCAAAGGCGCTGCTGACGAAGTTTGCCTCTGGGTCCGAGGCGTCTGGGATGGTTTTGGGAGCCGTTCGTGATCCGACGTACGCCTTGCCGCCGGCCGCAACAAATGCAGCGGCCTTCTTGGCGGGTGCGCGCGAGCTGCCGGCTTGACTGCGCTGCAGGCGCACGTCATCGTCGCCATCACCGCCCATGGCGGCGACGAACTCGTGGTAGGCCAGCTGCGCATCGTGCTCCGCCTGCCTTCGTTTGCGTTCGTCTGCCTCGCGCTCGCGGTCCACGCGCGACTTGAGCCTGCTGGCACCGTGCTGGAACTTGTCGCGCTTGAGCTGCTGTGCGAGTCTGAGCTCGTGCTGGGTGTGCGTCGAGGAGGCCTGCTGTTGCTTTTGTGCGCGGATGTACGCAAGCACGTCCTCGTCGGGCTCGGGTGAAGGTGTGCGTGCTGGTTTGGAGACTGCGCGCGGCTGCGAGGGTCTAGCGAGCAGAGGCGGAGGGCCGAAGGGACGAGGCGGGGGTCGGTTGGGTTGATCGAGATCGTGGTAAATGTGGTTGGAGCGCGTGCTGCGCGGATCGTTGGTATGGTGCCGCAAGGAGGAATGGCTGGGACCGGCGTGTGCAGCGGCCGAGTAGTCGAGCCCATCGTCTTCGTCTGCTCCTAGATTTATACGTGGAGTTAGGGCGTGGCGGTGTGATGCCTGCCACCCGGACATTGTGCACGACGGGGGGAGTGAAATGAGGATGACGATGGTGTTGGAGAGTGAGCGAGAACGAGAAGCATCGAAAGCCGGTTGGACCCTGAATCCATTCGCACCGGAGAGTGGAGGTTGTGGCTGCGGCCTGTGTCGGCCGGCAAAAAAAAGCACCCACCAAAAAGCCCAAAAACAAAAAAGAGGGAAAAAAGCGAAAAATTGCGGTGAGGTGCGAATGCATAAAAGGCCGATTCGGACTCGGCTGCCTCCTTCTTTTCTTCCTTAACGCTAAGTCGTGCCCCTGTAGGAGGGGGTACGCACCCCGTCCACAATAAAAGCACCTCTTCGTACTGGCAGACCTCCTTCACCGAAGGACGGACCGCCGAGGACCGTACGAGGCCGTAATGCTGGACGGAGATCCACCTTTGCGATGGGAATGGGTGCGGCGCAGCTGTACAGGTACGCCCTTCGTGGCGATCCGATGGCCTGGGCCGCAAGTTCTCGTTGCACATTCCTCTTCGCTCTCTTTCTCCTTCTCTTCTTTTCTCGCTCTCTACCTCTTGTTTCCCGTTCCCTGCATTCCACGATACCCTCCAGTCTCTTTCCCTTGGATTCGTTCGTTCGATTGAACTCGGTAAACCCCGCCGCGTCTAGGCTCGTCAGCAACGGCAATGTAGACCATTTGATCAACATCAGCAGCAGTGCGCGATGCGGAGAGCTTGTGACCTGCGCTTTATGCGTCTGTTGAGCAGAAGCGTTGCCTGTGAGCGTCTTGCCGGGGCGAGAATGATTGCGCGAGCAGTGTTGGTCATGCTCCGGCGAAGAAAATGTGCAGCGCTGTCGACAGCGACGATCTAACACTGTGAATTCGGACCAACGCGTCCTTCGCACAGAAGAACCGATGTTGGACCCTGAGCCGACTCAGCCAGCCTCCAAGACCTCCTTCCCCCTCCTCCACACTCGACACCTCGCCTCTGGTGCACGCTCGAGTCACGATGAGCTCGGCGTCTCAGCTGGTCGTGTGCCCCAGCTGCCAGATCCAGCTTCCGCTCGGCCAGCTCAACCCGCATCTCGACCGCTGCCTCTCGGACCAGCAGCCTAGCTCCTCGGCCAGCACCGACCAGTGGAACGGCATCTTTGGCGCCAAGACGGGCGATAGTACAGGCATTTCGAGCGCATCTCCGCGTGGGGTCAAGCGACAGAATGGCGCATCCAACGAGCCCGCACGTTCTCCACCTCGAGTGTCAGAACAAGCAGCGTCGGAGGCTGCCGGCAAACGCGCCCGATCCGATGCCGACGTGACGCCATCTGCATCGGGCTCGCGAACCACTGCCAACAGCCATGCAAGCACGGCGTCGACATCGCGAAGCCGCGTGGATGCGGCCAGGCCGTTTGCGGAGCGCATGCGGCCGCAGACGCTCGACGAGTACGTGGGGCAGAGCGAGGTGGTCAACGGACCGCTCAAGATGCTCTTGCGCCAGGGCAAGATCCCGTCGATGATCCTCTGGGGTCCACCGGGCACGGGCAAGACCACCCTCGCGCGTCTGCTCGCCAAATCGGCCTCGCCCTCGTCTTCGGGCACAACAGCTCCACCCGCGCACCGGTTCGTGGAGATCTCGGCGACCAACGCAGGCACGGCCGACGTGAAAAAGATCATGGACGAGGCGCTGCATCGGCTGCAGCTGACGGGACAGCGGACGCTGCTGTTTATCGATGAGATTCAGCGCTTCACGCGTGCGCAGCAGGACGTGTTTCTGCCGGCGGTGGAGAAGGGACAGATTGTGCTGGTGGCTGCGACGACGGAGAATCCGTCGTTCCGGCTGCAGGGCGCGTTGATCTCGCGCATGCGCGTGTTTGTGCTTACCAAGCTCAGCGTGGACGAGTGCGCGCAGGTGCTGCGCAATGCGATTGCGAGTGTGCAGCGCGAAAGCACCGGCGAGGGGGAGGTGGCGGGGCATATTGACGAGGATCTGGTGCGATGGATCGCGAATATGGCCGATGGCGATGCGAGGACGGCGTTGGGCGCGTTGGAGCTGGCGCTGGAAACCACCGATGCGCAACTGACGTCCGAGCAGAATGTGGCGAGGCTCAAGACGGCGTTGAAGCGCACGGCGTTGCAGTACGACCGGACGGGCGATATGCACTACGACACGATCAGTGCGCTGCACAAGTCGATCCGCGGCTCGGATGCCGATGCGGCGCTGTACTGGCTGGCACGCATGGTGTGTTCGGGCGACGATCCGCTCTTTATCGCGCGGCGACTCATCGTTGCTGCAGCCGAAGACGTCGACTCGCTCGAGGCGGTGCAGATGGCTACCGCCACGTACAGTGCGTGTCAGGTGGTGGGACTGCCCGAGTGCGGCGAGAATCTGGCACAGTGCGTCGTCTTCCTCGCCGAGGCCAAGAAGAGCACGCGCTCGTACAGGGCGTGGAAGAAGGCCAAGGCGCTCGTCGAGGGCGGATACAATCATCCGGTGCCTCTGCACATCCGCAACGCCCCGACCAAGCTCATGAAGCAGATCGGCTACGGAAAGGAGTACAGGTACGAACCGAGATTTGCGCATCCGGTGCACCAAGAGTTCTTGCCGCCCCAGCTCAAAGGTACGCGCTTCCTCTCGCCACCGCCCGAACCTGCTCCCACGCCAAAGCAAGGCGAAGAGCATGACGAAAAGGAGGAGCAGGGTATGGGGATACGAGCCATGCCGAGAACTGCAGGCGTGGGCCCGGGATCGTGCCAGCGCATCTTTGAGCTGGGCGCGCGTGCGGTGGATCTGGACCTGCTCGACGAATGGGAGCGCGAGCACAACCAGGGCCGCGAATGGTGCGGACGCCAACGCCTACTTGCGCTGCTCGAGCAGCAAGTCCAAGTGAAGCACGAACCGACGCCCTGAGGCTATTCACATTGGACGGACAATCATAGCGATACAGAGGGTAAAAAAAAACGTGTCCGTGGCGTGCGTGTGTTGTGGAGAGAGGATCTATTTGCGGCCATAGACGGTCTTGCGCCCAAGGTCAAAGGGGACGTATTTGTGGCGGATCATGTGTCTGTGCGGGCGTGGAAAAAGGGAGAGAGTGAGCAAGAGATGACGGTGGAGTATCAGGTGGATTCGGGGGGGATGGCAAGACGTACTGGATCTGCCTGCGCATGGTGATGGTGAAGAGGATGCAGAAGTACATGAGCAGAATGGGCCAGAAGACGGGGATGTCGAAGGCGGACGAGGTGGTTGCCAAGAGCGAGAGGACGACGGCCTGGGTGGCCGAGAGCCAGAACTTGAACTCGGGCAGGCGACGAATGAAGGGTCTAAACTCGTCGTCTCCCGACTGACCGTTGAGGCTGCTTCCGAAGACGCCGCTCATGAGGCCGCCGGATGCAGCGCTCTTGGAGTTGGAAGTGGGAAGGCCCGGTTCGCCCTCCTCGACGTCCTGTTCTGCCAGATCCTGCTCGTACGACGGGTCGAACTTGGGCGTGAGGAAGGCGAGGAAGAGGTTGAGGAGGTAGATGAAGAGCGCATAGCATACGATGTACCACCCCTGCGAGAGGACGATGCGCAGCATGAAGAGCATCAGCAGGCCAGCGGTGGCGCCCCATCGGTGGAGAGGGTAGGGGGTGGTGGTGTCGAGGAACGACTGGTATCGTTGCTGCAGGCGGTTGGTGTGTGCGAGGAACTGCTCGATCTGCGGAGGCGCCGATGTGCCCAGCGCATCGTCTGGGTTGTCCGCTCGCATCATCTTGGCGAAGAGCTGGTGGACGATGATGATGGTGAGAGCAACACCCAACCGGCTCGGCGAGATGAAGCGTTTCGTTTGTCTGTGCATTCGAGATGCGCCTTTTCTTCCTGCCGAGCGCCGCCTCTGCCAACACCGCTTCGGCCAACAACTCAGCTTCCACGCGTCCGCCGCGCCGTGGCGAAGGGGGGGCAGGCAGACGTGTCGGCCGGATCACCAAAGAGGGGATTTCTTTCAATCCATGTTACGCCGCAACTCAATGCACATTTAGACCGAAGGCGGCCCGAGCGGCGAAATTCGCAATGGCAGTCAGAGTGCGTCATTCGACAGCTGCTCGCAGTGGCATCGGCAGTGGCATTGGCAGAAACACACCGGCTGGTCATCAGAGGAGACTGGGAAAGAGGGTCCGACTCGGAATGCTGCTCCGAGGATTCTTCCGGCTGTTGGTGGTGCTGTCGGTGGTGCTGTTGCTGTTGCGATTGCTGACTGGGATCGATAGCGCGAGACTCGGGTCCATCTTATATTTCCGCCGGCCTAGGTTGCACCACTCACCTTGGCTCTCTTCCTACATCCTACAACCACCCTCCGCGTCTGCAACATGGTCGCAGCGTCCTCTGCGCTGCGCGGCGCACGCCTCGGGCTGCGTTTGCCGCCATCGCAGCTGCTCGCGCGTCGATTCTCCTCCACACCGCGCATCCCCAACTCCTCGACGCCGCTCAAGGAGGCATCGACCGCGGCCACCAGCAAGGCACCGGGTCTGGTTCGCCGCGTCGTGCGCATCACCGGATACACGGTCGGCTCGATCGTCTTTGGCCTCACCGCCACCACCGCCATCATCCTCGCACACGACGCGCTCACCTATCGCGAGGCGCACGTCGACAAGGTGCCGCTCCACCCGCTCGCGCTCGCTCCGAACCGAGGCGGGCCCAAGAACCTCCCCATCGTATCCGCCTATCCTGAAGACGAGCAGGATGAGGTGAGCAAGAACTTGGCCGCCAAGGAGAGGCTCGTCATCGTCGGTGGTGGATGGGCCGCCGTGGGCCTGCTCAAGTCGCTCGACCCGGAGCGGTACAACGTGACGCTCATCTCGCCCAACAACTACTACCTCTTCAACCCGCTCCTGCCTTCGGCCGCCGTAGGCACCGTCGAGCCGCGCTCGCTCATCGAGCCGCTCCGCAAGCTGCTCGCGCGCGTCCACGGACACTACATCCAGGGCTTTGCGACGGATGTGGTGATGGGCGAGGACAAGCCGGCGTACCAGGGCGGACAGCAGCGTCTGCTCGAAGTCAACGTGATCAGCGGCGACGACTGGGACGGCGAGAAGCTGTGTGGTGGCGAGCCGACGGCAGAACGCAAGGAGACGCGCGGCAAGAGCGTCTATGTGCCCTATGATCGTCTTATCGTGGCGGTGGGAAGCGTAACGAGCACCCACGGCGTGCCTGGTCTCGAAAACTGCTTCCACCTCAAAACCATCAGCGACGCACGCAAGATCCGCTCGCACATCCTGGATAACCTCGAAGTGGCCGCGCTCCCCACCACGACGCCCGAGGAGCGCCAACGCTTGCTCAGCTTCGTCGTGTGCGGCGGCGGCCCCACCGGTGTCGAGACGGCAGCCGAGATCTCGGACATGATCAACGAGGACGTGTTTGATTACTTCCCCAAGCTGCTGCGGGCCAAGGCCAAGGTGCATCTGATCCAGTCGCGCGAGCATATCCTCAACACCTACTCGGAAAAGATCTCCGAGTATGCAGAGGCCAAGTTTGCGCGCGATGCGGTGGATGTCATTGTGAATGCGCGCGTCAAGCGCGTCGAGCCCGACCGCGTCGTGTATACGGTCAAGGACCCGGCGACGGGCAAGGTGGGCGAGAAGGAGGTGGCGTCCGGATTCACCTTGTGGTCGACGGGCATTGCCATGAGCCCCTTTACGCGCAGGGTGACCGAGCTGCTGCCGAACCAGAGCCATCTCAAGGCGCTGCAGATCGACAGCCATCTGCGCGTCAAGGGCGCCCCGCTCGGAAGCATGTACGCTCTCGGCGATGCGTCTACGATCGACACGCGCCTCATCGACTACCTCTACGACTTTGTCGACCGCTACGACAAGGACCACGACGGCAAGTTGTCCTTCGCCGAGTTCGAGACGTTTGCAAAGGCCATCAGGCACAAGTTCCCCATCGCCTCGAAGCACTTTACCAAGCTGCGCGAGATGTTTGACGAGTACGATGCCGACAAGGACGGCCAGCTCAACCTCAACGAGATCGCCAACGTGCTTATCCAGACGGGCAACAAGATGACCGCCCTCCCCGCCACTGCGCAGGTGGCCGCTCAGCAGGGGCATTACCTGGGCAAGAAGCTCAACAAGCTCGCGCGCAGGAGGGACGGAGGCATGGATATGCACCCGCACACTGCCGAGGAGGTGCTCGATGTCGACGACCAGGTGTACAAGCCGTTCAAGTACACCAACTTTGGCTCGCTCGCCTACATTGGCAATGCCGCCGCCTTCGATGTGCCCCTGCCCGGGGGCATGGGTAGCTTCGCGGGTGGGCTGATTGCCATGTACGCCTGGAGGTCGTTCTATCTGTCGGAAAGCGTGAGCATGCGCACGCGCGCGCTGCTGCTCGGCGATTATGTCAAGCGCGGCATCTGGGGCCGAGATCTGTCGCGCATCTGAGCCCGCGCCAACTTCTGAAATCGAACCCTTTGTCCCCCTCCGTTGAATCTTCCAAGAGCAGCCTGGGTGAAGTGCGAGTTGCAGGCGTGCGAGGTTGGGGGCTGTGATCTAGATGGATTTCAATCGGATAGCGATGTGATCGTACGTGCGAAAGTTTAGACCTGGCGACCGGACTCCTTCTCGGCATCGGCGAGGAACTGCTTGATGAAGGCCTCCTCGTCGCTGAACCCGCAAGAAAGCAAAGGTGTGAGTTGAGGGGTCAAAGCGGAGTGCTCGGAGCAAGGGGGGAGGTCGGGCACTTACGAGCTAGAGGCGTTGATGGGGGGCTGGTTGGCCGCCTTGGCATCGGGGCTGGCCGAGGGCGTGGCCTGCTTGGAGCCGCCCATCTGCGAGACGGCAATGGCGCCGTAGGTGCCGAGCACAGCAAGCGCAATGTGCTCGTTAAGGATCTTGCGGCCTGTTCCAACGGGAAGATCGAGTGTCAGCATTCCCTCCCAGCGGGACGGACGCATGTGCGTGCGAGAGAGTGGACTTACCAGCAATGGTGTACGACATGATGACGATGTGTGTGTGTGTGTGTGTGTGTGTG